TCCACCATCTCTTACCATTGATCCTGCTACTGGCCTACACCTGTTCTTTAAATTCTTTAAACATGTCAGGCTCCTTCCTACCTTAGGACCTGTGTGTTGGTGTCTGCTTTGCTAGAATGTTCTTTTCACATGTCATCTCCTCAGATGGTTAGCTAATGTTCTACCCCCTTTAGCAGGATTGTTGTCAGACTCTGTCAAACTTGGTGTTTCATCATACAATTTAGATTAAATTTTGCTTGGGTCTCAAGTTCCGTTCCAGATAAAGTATTAAGAACATGTTAAAGGAAATTATTTGGCACAAGTTTTTGGCAATAAAGGTAAGAATTTTTAGAATTTAGAATGCACCCTCCCTAAGGCATCTTGACATGACTTGATTATTGAAATGGTGAAGGCTGCATCTCTTTTATAATCCCTTTCCACCAAGTGTATTGCATGATAGAGGGATAAGGGAAAGCTGAAAAGGAGGTATCTGGAATCTACTCTGTTAGGCAGATAGAAATAATGAATGCAAAATATGTCACAGTATTGACAATCCAGTGAACACAAAACAGTAGTAAAATAGACGATCATTTTCTGAATGATGAGAAAAGCACTTGGCAAAAACTTTTAAAATCCAGTTTAAAAGCTTTCTGGGAGTTCATTTAAGGTCAATGAACTTTTACTAAACTAACAGTAGAAAAGTGATATGGAGGTTGGGGGTGGTTTAGGAAGGGTGTAGTGAAAGTTGCTGATCAATCTTATGCTGAATAAGTTCTTCCCAAACTAAAGAACAGCAGTTCCTCTGTTCTTTCAGAATGTTAAGATTCACTGTGAAATTTCAGGGTCAGAAAGAATAAATGGCCAGGCAATCAGTGACCACTTTATATTAATCTATTTGCCATCTTGAGGGCTTCATAAGACTCTACACACTGGAAAAAGTGAACTTTGTAGAGCTTTTTTTTTTTTTTTTTTTTTTTTTGCAATTTTGCTTTTTATTTTCCAAAGAGCCATTTTTGTAGCTATCTTGGTTGATGTGTATTGAATGTACTTTTGTTATACTAAACATTAGCAAGCTCATAGATTTTCCTTATATAGCTTTCCTCTCTTCATAATTTGGCACAAGAATGATTCTTAGTGCCGAGTGTTTTCTTTTTCTCCTGGTCTCTTCTCAGAGCCATACTGGCCTTTCACCTGGTTTTGTATCTTATTTTTGAAATAGCCTTGTTCTCAGATTTTATTTTAAATGTTGGTTGGTTCAATCTTTGCTGCAAATGGCTTCCATGTCTGTGGAAGATAGGAAAAAAGAAAGAAATCAACAAATTAAACTAGAAGTGATTCCACAGGCACCTAGAGACAAAATTATTGCAAAAGATAATAGAGATCAATGCCAAGCTGCCCCCAACCCCAATTCCTATAAGAATTTGAAGACCAGAAAAGCTAGATAACTTGCTAAAGATTACAAAGTATTGATGAGAATATGTCATTCTCATTATTTTCATGAAGATAACATTCTAGAGAGCTGTATTTTAACACATAAAACAAGCTATTCATAATATGCCAAACTGCTTACCCTAGTTATCTTTGAGAAGGGGGAATATACTAAAAATTTTTCTTTCTAATTTTCTGAGTTTGCAATGTTGTTTTGAGCATCATTATTGTTAATATCATGGTTAAGGCTATGAGCATTAGAGTCAGAAATGTGGATTTGAGTCTGGCTTCCATTTACTAAGCTATGACTTTGACTTTTGGGAAAGCTTCTTAACCTCTCTGAACTGCAGTTTCTTATTCTGGAAGATAAATGTATGAATACATACTTAGATTGAGTTAACTATGAAGGGATTAACTCTAAGGTTCTTGGCCATTTAGTGCTTGGCCCATGATGATCACTCCATAATGGTGGCCACTAGTACTGCTACTGCTACTGCTACTATTAGGTATAATAGAACACTTGATACTAAACAATGTCTTTGGATACTGACATAGTGTGATCATTATTGAATTATTTAAACATTTATCTGCTTAAAGATTAGATGCTTTCTTATGCAATTTTTCAACATACCTTCCAGTTCATTTTATCACCCTATAACTTCAGAGGAAGCACTGTGGTCATTAGTTCTTGCTCTATCAAAATGATATTTAACTCTTGGATACCTCAATCAGAGCCTGATCCTTACTATAATTGAAATAAAAGTTATTGAGCCTTTTCTGCATTTTACACTAGAGACCTTGCCCTGTGTTGCCAGGGAAAATCATTAACCATTGTAAAATTTAAAAATTCCTATTGCTGCTCATCTTTGAGCATCCTATGCTCCATAAGTATACACACAATTTCTTGTGATAAAGTACCAGAAATGTCATTTTACTTATTTAGATGTACTATACTATTGCCAACCTACCTAGAGATGGCACAGTCAGAGATTGGAAACTTACGGCCTTCTAATTATTGAATTTATTGTTTGGACCAGACCTGGATTGTTTGACCCCTTTTAGGTACTGAGAGCGCCTTGGTGACATATGTCTGAGTATTTTTCTGTGTTTGTAATGTTACTGTTTGTGAGGATGTGCTTTTTAGTTTACAACTGAGGAAGCCTATCATCATCATTAGTACTCATTCATTCAGCATGAGCACCTGTTTTATCTTAGGCACTAGAGATGCGAATATGAATAAAACATGGTTCCTGTTCTAGAAAATGTTATAGTTTTTTTGGGGAGAAAGAAGTTACATTTCAAAGTGATATGTTCTATATAATAAACATGAAAAAGTGTTATCGTAATATACAAGAAGGAGCAATAAATTTGGGGGAGTGGTAAGGATTCAGAGAGGAAGTGACAGTTGAGCCAAGTCTTAAAGGATGAATGGGAATTTTCCATTTGGAGGGTAGAGGAGCAGTGGAGGAGGCAATACAGGGTAGGGAACAGCCTATGCAAAAACCTAAGGGCATGCGTGGGGCACACTAGGAAAGGAGAAGGTCTTCAGAGTGGCTGGAGGAAAGGGTGTGTGGGAAAGAACTGAGTTGAAATTAGGAGTTGGAATTTTATTCTTTGGTACTAAGGAATCATTGAAGATTTCAAAATTAGGGCTGACATAATCAGATTTGAGTTTGGAAACCTGTAGTTTGGGACTGGAGGAAGACAGGTGTCAGACACCAGTTTAAAAGCTGTTGTTTTCTAAGCAGGAGACAAAGGTTTACACTGACAGTAGCTGTGGAGATAGAGAAGAGCTGCGAGATTTCAGAGTTTTCTGAGATGTAAACAACTAAATTTTGTGATCAAAATGATAAGGGCCATGAGATAAGTTGGGGAATGTGGAATCTGTCTTGGTTGAGTAGGTGGATTAACTGAGATTAACAGAGCTGGAGGAAATATAAAAATAAAGTCAGGACTGTTCATTTTGTCTTTTGTTTGTTTTGGGGAACAGGGTCAAAATTTTCATTTTGCACAAGGTAGGTTTAGTCTTTTCAGAAACATTCTAGTAGGCAAGTCTGTAGCTGAATCTTGGAAGAAAGGCAACCATAGTAATATTTTTGAGCTCCTAGTGTTTATTTTTTCAATAAAAACTAAGGTTCTCAGAGGTTAGCAGATCATGGTCTTAGGAAGGTAGCTGTAGAACCAAAATATAAATTCCTAAGCTTGTACCAATTGGGTCTTACTGAAATGGCAATTGAGAGAAAAATAAATCCCTTGGTTTTTACCGTACTTTGTTTCCTTTCCCAGAGTATCTTTACTAAAAAAACAAACAAACAAACAAAACTAATATATAGATACATAATCCATCTATTTTCTACACTAAGTTTTCTGATCTTAATATTATTTGGCTAAATGACAGATTAGGTGTGCTCAGGATCATAGCTAAGGAACCTCAAACAGCTTGTTTTGTTCTAACAAAACCTTAACATTTAAAGATTAAGTCCTCAAGAAATATTTATTACTTCATACATGCTTGATCTAATCTCAGCTGTTACTTGGTTTGAATGTGAGGGAAACAATAAGTATTAAAGAATGACAGATGTAGTGTCTACTTCACTATAGGAATTTAAGAATAAGGGATTTTTCTCCCCATTTGGATGGTTGAGCTATAGTCCCCTGGAATCAAGGGAATAAAGTAGTTCCTCAAAATCTCTCACCTCCAAATTTCAGGGGTCATTCACCATTGATTGAAAGACTTGGGTGGTCGCGAAGGACTTGAGTGGCCCTTGAACAAGGTGAACTGCTATATGTATCTGATGTTCTTTTTTCATGTGTTTAAAAAATAAATGAACACACCTTATCTACATGAAATTCTAGTTTTCGCTGTTATTATCTAGGTTTTCTGTGTGGTTTCTTGGGCTGTAGTGTTTTTTTCTTTACTTTGTTCTTTATTGCTGTGAAATGTAGTTGCCTGCTGTTTAAGGCAGCTGCAGTAGAGTGTACCCAGAAGTGGTTATGTTTCTATATTTAGTAAAACCATAGGATTTGTGAAGCAGTTGCAGATTCCTTCAGGATAAAATGGTTTCTATAAATGTAACTTTTTTTTTTCTTTTTTCTTTTCTTTTTTTTTTTTTATTTTTTATTTTTTTATTTAGACAGGATCTCACTCTCGCCCAGGCCAGAATGCAGTGGCATGAACATGGTTCGCTGTGGCCTCAACCTCCTGGGCTCAAATCCTCCTGCCTCAGCCTCCCAAGTAGCTGGAACTATAGACACAGGCCATCATACCCAGCTATTTTAAAAGATTTTTTGTAGACATAAATTTTCACCATGTTTCCCAGGCTGGTCTTGAACTCGTAAGTTTAAGCAGTCTTCCCAGGAAGTGCTAGGATTACAGACCTGAGCCACTGTGCCCAGCCTCAATGAAACATTTTTAATGAAACTATTATTATCACCCATTAGAGAAATATATAGCAGCAAATATGTGTGAGTCTGTGGACAAGACAGAGGCACACGAAGCTTGTTTTTATTTCCTTAAGAGCTCAGTGAATATTTTAAATCCTTAAAATTAATCATGTGAATTCTATTTTTATTCTCTTAATCTTGAATTGCAGAGCGTTTACTCAAGTGTTTACCTTTGGTCCGACCTTCCGAGCTGAAAATTCTCAGAGCCGGAGGCACCTGGCAGAGTTTTATATGGTAGAAGCAGAGATTTCTTTTGTTAACAGCCTTCAAGATCTCATGCAGGTAGGTACACAAGTTTTAAAATAGCAGGTATCTGTGACATTAAAATGTTTCTATATATATTTTTACCTCAGACATTTATGTGTTACAGGTATTCATAAAGCGAAAAGAAGGGAGAACTACTTAATAAACACTTACTAAATGCCTTTACTGTAATAGTTTAAAATATAAGAGTCAGACAGATTTAAGTTTATATCCCAGCTCTGCCATTAGCTTTGCTGTGAAGTTCCCTGACTTTCATGATCTTTAGGTTCCTCAACTCTAAAATGAGAAATTTTATACTTAGTCCTAAGGTTATGTGAGGGTAAATGGAATTGTGTATATAATATAAAGCACATAGCACGAGGTGTGGAACACATGCCGGTTCACTAAATAGTAGCTCTGATTTGCTAGGAAAATAAACCAAACATCTTTATAATTTTATATATAAATGTCTGTAATACTTACGTAAACCCCTATGTAGCTATATTAGAAAGCATCCACAGGAGCTGTCAGCTCAGTTAAGGCTGGAGAGAAGGTCATGATCAGGCAGCAGATCATGAAAGACCTGGTGTTTCAATGCCATGGTAAGGAGTTTGAACTTTACCCAAAATTTAAGGAGCAAGAGTTCTAAGTTGGAAAATGAAGGTCAGAGCTGTATTTTAGACACATCTTTTTAGCAGCAATATGAACAATGATTTAGAAGTAGATGAGAGTAGAGAGGCCTTGTTAGGAGGCTGTAGACATAATCCAGACACTGTACACCAGTGGAATTGGATGGACCAAGATTTGATGCTTAACCACTCAAGTGCTATGTGACCAACTTAGACAAAGGACTTAATCTCTCTAGGCCTCAGTGTCCTCATCAAAATTCCAATACATAGGAATAAAAATTCCTATTTTATAGGCTACTTAAGATTGGACAGATTATATATATAGTATATATCTATTATATACATATATATGAAGTACTTAGCGTAATTTATGGCACTTAATAAATACCCAGGAATTGTTAACTGTTAAATTATGAATTGTCTATTCAGAAGCATTGTGGTTACTATCTTGTTTGGATTTGTAATTATGGGGTGTTTATTTTAGTGATTTTCATCAGCTCTCGTTTCTATTCATTTATATGTCTTTCTACTCTTACCCAGTAAATGACCTATTTCCACTTAAAACATAAATACCATATATATCACAAATAGAACAGACTAATTATTTTATTACCCTGTCTTGAGTTGGATTTCCTAGTAAACAAAACTCTAGGGCAGAGATGTGTAGGCAGGGGCGTTACTGGGGAGTGCTCTTGAGAACAGCATTCGTAAGGAAAGGAAAAAAGTCACATTGAACAGTAGGAAGAGTGAACTGTGATACACTTACAAACAGAGGCCTTAGCCTCTTCTTGGAACTGGAATGGTCCTTTCCAGTTGTCCCATTGGAAGGCAAGGGGGTAGCACTTTGTGCCTTCCCATATCAACCAGTCATTGGACGTGATTAGCCACTGGAAGGGGCATAACCTTGAGTAAGGCAGCACCTTTGGGTCTTGACAGTTCCTGATGAAGCACTCAACTATAAACCATCAGCAGTTAATAATATTCCTGGATTCCTGTATAGGGCACCTGGCCCTGAAGGGGCATTCTGACCACACAGTGTAGCATTTCACTTCCATACCCTCTTCACACTTCCCACTGAGCATTTTGGATCAGTCCCCATGAGACATTTTTGGTTATCCCTATTAGGGAATGGGCAGGGAAGGGAGAGAGTGGTCATTACTAGCATGTAGTTGGTAAAGGCAGGAGTGCTATTCAGCAATCTGAAGTGCACAGCCACCTTCTCCCCAGTAATTAGCTGGCCCAAAATATCAGTAGTGCCACTGTTGAACAACCATATTCTGGACTGTAGGAATTCAGGATCTGAGCTTCAGAAGGAGTCAGTGTGCATTCCTTAAGTAGCTTTCAGTGTGCATTCATTAAGTAGCTTTCACCCCCTAATTCTTTATTAATTTTTGTTCTACAGTTATATTTTACCATATGACAGGGTTGCAAGATACTGTTTATTTTTCTCAGTTATATTAGTAAAAACATTGAGGAATAAATAGGTTAAGCTACATACCTTTTTAGTAAGTGTGAGCAGAATTCAGTTACAGATTTTCACCTTTGCATTCAGTCAACAATGCCATGAAATTATTTTATTCTGCTCTAAATATTTCAAGTGGAGCATTTCAGTCTAAACTTAATGTTTATAATTAGTCATTTCTTTATTTCATTTTCTTTTCCTTTCTTTCTTTCCTGTTTATAATTAGTCATTTCTTTATTTCATTTTCTTTTCCTTTCTTTCTTTCCTTTCTTTTCTTTTTTTTCTTTCTTCTTTCTTTTTTTGAGACAGGGTCTTACCCTTGTCTCCCAGGGTGGAGCACAGTGGTGCACTCTTAGCTCACTGCAGCCTCCGCTTCTGGGCTCAAGCCATCCTCCCACCTCAACCTCCCGAGTAACTAGTTCTATAGGCACACACCACCATGCCCAACTAATTTTTTGGTAGAAATGGGGTTTCACCAGGTTGCCCAGGTTGGTCTTAAACTCCTGTGCTCAAGCCATCCGTCTGCCTCAGTCTCCCAAAGTTCTGGGATTACAGGCATGAGTCAGCATGCCTCACCTCATTTTCTCTTTTTCTTCCATTTCTTCACTTTGTTTTTATCTGTAGATGTCTTGACTGATGGATTTTTAGGCTAGTTTCTTAAGCTTTGGTGATTAATGTCCAGGAATACTGTGAACCAGAAGATCACACATTTTATTTAGGGCATTATCTTGTACTACCTTAGCTGGTGTTATCTCAGATATATTCCAAAATAAGTCGGGAACTAATTAAAAAGGGTTGGACTACCCCAGAGAGATCCATTATCCCAGAGAAAACAGTTACTTGTTCAGTGGCTTTAGATGGCCTGGGCCTGGGCAAGGCTGTAGCTTCAGTGACATTATTCCCTGAGACTTGCATAATAGCTATCTGAAGCAGTTTTGATTTATCCGTTCACCAGTTGAAGGACATTTAGTTTATTCTGTTTTTGAAAGTAACAAACAAAGTTGCCGTAAATATTTATGTGCAGGTTTTGTATGAATGTAAAATTTCATTTCTCTCTGTTCTTTTGTTTTTTGAGGCAGGGTCTCACTCTGTCACCTAGGCTGGAGTGCAATGGTGCAATCGTAGCTCACTTCAGCCATGAACTCCTGGAGCTCAAGTGATCCTCCCACCTCAGCCTCTCAAGAAGCTAGGACTACAGGTGCTATTTTTTAAATTTTTTGTAGAGACAGGATCTCACTATGTTGCCCAGGCTGGTCTCAAACTCCTGGGCCCAAGGGATCCTCCTGCCTCTCATCCTCCTAAAGTGTTGGAATTACATGTGTGAGCCACAGCCACCCAGACTGATTTCTCTTGGGTAAATTCCTAGGAGTGGGATTACTAGGTCAGTGTTTGATGTGATGTTTTATAGTTTTCATTATACAGATCTTTTATGTCCTTGGTTAAATTAACTCCTAAGTGGAGTTATCTCTTGGTATCCAGAAGGGATTGGTTTCTGGACCCTCCCCACTCCCCGCCATTATGGATACCAAAGTCCATGATTACTTATGTTCCTTATATAAATTATAAAGGTTCTTTCATTTTATAGGAAGGAAATCTGTATTCCAAAGTGACTGTTTCATCTTGCATTCCTACAGCAATGTGTGGAAGTTTTACTTGTTCTAGTTCTTCATCAGTACCAAGTACTGTCAGGCATGTGTGGTGGTTTTAAGCCATTCTAAGAACTGTGTATTAGTATCTCATTGTGGTTTAAATTTGCATTTCCCTAATGCTTATTGATGTTGAGCATCTGTTCGTGTATTTACTGGCCATCTATGTGTCATCTTCTGTGAAATGTATTTTTATTGCCCATTTTCCATATGGCTTGCTTGTTTTTTTCACTGTTGAGTTTGGAGAGTTCTTTATATATTCTAGCTACTATTCCTTGTTGGATGTGTGGTTTCTGACTGTGTTCTCCTAGTCAGTAGCTTGGCTTTTCATACTCTTAATTTTGATGACATCTAGTTTATCATTTTTTCTTTAATGAATTGTGCTAAGACTTGATTTTTGTGTCAAGTCTAAGAACTCTTTACCTAGCCCTAGATCTCAAGGATTTTATGATGTTTTATAGCTTTAGCTTTATGTTTTTCATGTAAGTCTATGATCCATTTTGAGTTAATTTTTGTGTAACGTGAGACATAGAAGTTCTTGTCCCTTCCTTTCCTTTCCTCTCTTGTCTTTCCCCTTTCCTTTCCACCTCTGGATAACTTCTTGCTCCAGCACCATTTGTTGAAAAGGCTGTTAGCCAAACTTCGTCTATTGAATTGCTTTTGGGTCTTTGTCAAAAATCAGTTGGTCTTACATATATGGATCTATTTCTGAATCCTCTATTCTGTTCCATATTCTATTTAATATTTTACCACTTCAAGTAAACCAACAGTCTTACTACTATATATTTCCCTTTGCCTTCACCCCTTTGTCTTATAGTTTGTGTTAATTTCCTATTGCTGCTGTAACACGTCACCACAAACCTGGTGGGTTAAAACAACTCGAATTTATTATTGTATTGTTCTGGAGGTGAGAAGTCCAAAGTGGATTTTACTGGTCTAAAATCCAACGCTGCTGAAAGGTGTCAGCAGAGTTGCATTCCCCTTGGAGGCTTCAGGAGAGAATTAGGTCCCTTGCCTCTTGCATTTTCTAGAGACTACCTGCATTCTTTGGCTCACAGACCTTAAAAACCAGCAAGGTATCATCTTCAAATCTTTCTAACTCTCACCCTCATGCCTGCCTCTTTCACGTAAAGGATCCTTGTGATTACATTAGTCCCACCATATAATCTAGAATAATCTCATCATTTAAAGATTCTTAATTACACATACACAGTTTCTTTTACCAGGTAGGCTAACATACTCATGGGTTCTGGAATCGGAGCATGGACAGCTTTGGCAGAGGGATAAATATTATTCTGCCAA